CTGTCTTCAAGAAATTCCTACACAGCAATATTATTAACATCAAAGATTGATTTCTGCTTCTGATGTGAAAGTCTCTGAGAGAACCAGAGGAGAGATTTTCTGAGTCTCCTTAGATTGCAGCTAAATTGTTCTGTTGTAGAAGGGAGAGAAACCGTCTTCTGTCTGTGTGGCAGAACACGTAATTGGTCCCCAAATTCTCTAATTCACGAGTGTGGGCTGCTTATGTAAACTCCCTGAGCCCTTGCCTGTAGTGCTAACGGTTCTTTGCTCACCATCTCCCACCCTCACCACACTTAAAGTAGTTCACGGTGCAAGAACACAGCTGTGCTCCTCTATCTCTCCTTGGCACTTTGAGCGTGGCTTCTCATGATGAGGCTCCTGTGTCAGGACACCTCCATGGGGATGCTGCAGAGCTGCTGCCTTGTCCTGCTCCCTATGCAGACATGCCTGCTTGAGAATCCCCAGCCCTTGTTGTGCCCCACAGGGTCAGTGCCATGCAGCACTCTGTGTGGCATTGGTCTTCAGGGCAGAAGACCATGCATGATCCATTGCTATTTCAGTTTCTAGAGTGGAATTGGCCCACTGTCTGACACATTTTTGGAAGGCAATCTTTTTGTTCCTCCTGTCCTCAGCTGTGTTTTTGAGCATCGCCTAATTTGGTTCGCTAACCTCAGTGAGCTCATTGTGAATCTTTGTCATAGTTCTTTCCTCTTATCCTTCCTCTTTCCCTCCCCCTGTCCCCCAGACTCCCTCATTTGCAATTATAGTCAACTTTAGTGAGGAGAAATGGCTTTTTAATTTTCCACAAGAAATGGAAGTGTGGAGTTATTATGCAAAGCAGCTTTCTTTTAATTCCCGAAAATTTCCGGTATACACTGTAATCAGTCATTTTCTACTGTACTTTTTACTGTCTGAAACCGTAAGCCCAGACCATTAGAAAACCATAATAAACAATTCAATGATTTCCTTTCAGCTTCATATTCTATTTTGCTGAACATGTTTGGAGGTGTAAATATTTCTCTGGAGGGAGATAATTTTAAGTTTAGTTTTCTAATTTGATTAAGGAAGTGGAGCCTGCCTGCTTCATCTGCAGGCATGAATTCTTGTGCACCAGGGAGATGTTCAGATATCTGTGTAGGTGTGTTTAATATGTTCCGCCTAATTGTATTTCCTTTTCACTAAATAAGAAAAGTTGCAATGCAATGGGATTAATTTTTCCATTTCCCCCCACGTCCTTTTTCCTGCTTTTAATTGTGTTGCTCCACATAGCCACAGCGGCATGCCTTTGGACTGGATTTCCTTGGAGCAAGCTCCCTGCCTGCCGGAGGCACCAAGCAGAGAGCTTCAATCCCATTGCTTCACCCAGGTTGCCCTTGGTGGGTTGTTCAGCCTGGAGTGAAACCCCACCCTGCACACGAGGTTGTACTGCAAGGTACATGCCTGAAAACGTGCTGATTTGTCTCACACTGGTTTCACTGCCTCTGAGAGGGAAGGAAGCAATACCTGCTTAAAAGGGCACGCTCTGTTCTCTCCATTTCAGGAGTAAAATAGGGACCGTCCTAGGTGAACCAGTCTTTAAAGAAAGCAACTTTCTTCTGCTTCCATGCAGAGTGGTGGTTAATACTTCACTGTCACAAAAGAATACATTTAATTTAGCAGCTTTTCAAACATTTTAACATATTTCAAAGAGGTGAATGTAATAACTCATTGGAACAAAAATGGTCATTGATACGTTAAAAAAAAAAAGGAAAAAAAGAAAAAAAAGAGGAAAACAGCTCACATCTACACAGAAGTACAGATTGGCTTAAAATTGTAACTTTTTCCTTACATAAGCTGTGGGTTCTTGAGTTTGTTTTTAGATCCTGTAAGCTGAATTTGCTTTATCTTTTCAAGCTATTCTCTGAAACCACAAGAGCTCTAAAACCCACATCTTTAAAACGAAATATAGAAATGAAAATCCTCATGCAGTCTCTTGGTTTCTGTGACTAGAGTTTGATGGGGAGTGGGGGAGAGAGCAAACATTGGCATGGTTGCAATGAGATTGCAAATGTTGGCAGTGCTCTTTTGCGCACGGCAGGAGGGGGTGTTAGTGTGGGTAGGCATCTTCCGCAAAGTAATATGTGTTCATCTCCTCTCTGCTTCTGCAGAAATTGAAAGGGCAAGTGTGCCTAGCCCTGGTGCCTGATTCTGAAATTCATATTTGTATATGTAGTCCTGCAGGAAAATTCTGCTCCTATCAAACTGTGCAAGATTTGTTAGGCCTCGTGTATTTTCAAATTTTTATTCTCTTTGCTCTTGAAGATTACCCCAAGTAATTCTACTGAGTTTTGAAACCTAAAGGTGAAAGCTAAAGTGGGTAGTGATGTTAATAATACCTGTACATGCAGATTAGTACTACATGCAAAGCAATTTTTACCAATTCCTTGTTTTATTCTGTAGTTCCCTTTTGAAGCATAACCCTATTAATATACACCCAGGCCTTCTTTGTAATGTCTTCTACCCAAATCTTCCTGAGCTTTTCTGAGAAAAATTAGGGCAGTAAATCCCAACAAGTGGAAGTCATGAGGGTGTCACAGATAGTGGTCAGTCTTCATCCCACCACTCCGCCTCTCCTGCTCATTTACTGTAGAGCTGAATAATGCAGTTTTACTTACATTGTTAAGCCTGTGCAGTGCCCACCTGAATGACTTCCACCCACACTGCAGCTTGATGCTCTTGCTGATCAAACAAGACAAAGGTTATTCCTTTGCCTTTCTATGTTTTGTATCCAGTGCCTGTACTACCGAAAATATAGCAAGCTCATCACTATTGAGGCTGGATAAACTGCTATTTGAAAACTAATAAAAATACACTTCAGTATTACCTAAATTGTAAAGAAAACCTAAACAAGAGTAATTTGGAAAATATCTCAGTACTATTGTGGGTAGAATATTCTTTTCCTGACTTATCACTAGGTTACCTAATGGCCTGAGGACTCAGAAGCAGTTATGAACCTTGGTCTCCCATCTATTCTGCCCCTGAGCTCTGCATTACTGCTTGCTCACGTGTCTCAACACTGACAACTTGTACCTTCCTGGGTTCACAGGGACATAAATTTAATGGGAGAGCATGATGTTCTTCTCCCATCCTGGAGATTAATGTGCTTTTTTGGAAAACACGTTTGATCCCCCACAGGCTGCAGAGTGTGTTGTTTCCAGCCCTTTCATTTCCTTGGCAGGTATGGTCAAAAGCCGATTAGCTGGGCACCTCCACCTGCTATAGCATTATTTAAAAAGAAATGTTTCTAGCTGCCTTTGCTGAGGAAACTGGATCTCTGAGCATGGGCACTCCAGAGGGTTAAGCTCAGTTTCTGACACCAGTGGGGTTTAAGTGAAAGCTGAAGGTACCAGAGTAGGGCAGTGCTGGGAGAAGAGGGGCACCTGGAAAGTCCAGAACAGTCCAAGAGACAGGCATCCTATCTAGGGTGTAGGAAAGTATTGTAGGGCCATAACCTGTAGCTGGGCTTAAATTCTTTTTGAAGATGGCTGTTTGTCATGAGATAGTTCATGCTGCATATGGCTCTTGAAAACACCCTTTTTCTGAGGAAGAGAACTTCCTTCTGGGTCTTGCGCATTACTTTCCTTTTCATGAGCCTTTGTATTTCTTGGTTCTGCACAGGACCAAACCAGACATGCAGAAGCACCATGAAAAAATGCAGTTGGAGCATTCTTGGCATGGCTTGACATGTGGGAGCACGGAGATGGGGAACCTGATAGGATTCCAGACTAGTTCTGCAGATTCAAGAAGTGCAAGCAGTCGGATAAGCATCTGAACTTGTGTGTGTTTATCTAAACTGAGCTCGAACTCCAGGCCACTTCAGAGTTTGCCTAGCAGTGGCTAATTATTACTAGAATGCTTGTTAAAATTGGAAAGTAATGTCAATAATGATTTAATTCACAAACAGATGTAAACAAAAGCCCTTCTGGGAATTGTGCTGTACCAGGAGCTTGGAGGAGATATTCCTCTCAAAAAACTGTCTAGAAAAATTTTGGATGGGAACAACAACAATAAAAAAAGCTGCTAGTTCTCCTCTGCTTTAAAAGCTATTGGGGAACTATGGAGCTGAAAAGAAAGTGTATCGGACAGATACAGAGGCAGCAGATCTGATTCTAGTTCTTGTATATCTTTGTATGTCAACAGCAATACTACGAGGTTACCTGTTGTAGTGGGGTAAAGCCAGCATAAGACCAGATCATGTCCAACCATTCTTAAGATATTATTAAAACAAGGGTAGCTATTAGAGTCTTATTATGGTGAAAAATGTGTTTAGGATCCTGCCTGGGAACAGCATGGTTGGTTTTCTCAGTAAAACATATTATTTAATTAAATAAATAAAGCTTCATTGGTGATGTAGGTTTAGTTGTCATTTACTACCTCTTTAGTGACGTTAAACTTTAGCACAATAACAGCTTGGCGAACAGAGAGAACTGTTTCCACCCACATGGATAAATATTGATCTCAGTGATAAAGAAGAACAAACATTCTGATGGAGTGGTATGAAAGAAATTGAACCTGATACAGGAGGTTTATTTTTACTGCATAGTAAAAGAAAGTTAGTCTTTCAACTGAGAACAGGGAAGGGCAAGGGGATGGCTTATCAAAATGTTGTTTACAGGATAATAAATACTGTGACTTCAAACTTTAATGTTTACCCATTGGCTATCCACAAAAAAAAAAAAAACAAAAAAAACAACAAGATGACTGAGGTGAAGTTCTGGTCACAGTCAAATAAATGGCAGCTTTGCTGCTGACTTCAGTAGGGCCAGATATTTCTAGCTGGAGTGCTGTACAAAGGCTCTAATGCCCCATGGGGATCTCCTTTGAGCAAATTGCTTTCTTAAGTCCTTGAAACTAAGCATGTGCTTTTCTTCTCTGCTGAACCAGACTTGGAGACTGATGAGTTTGACATTTTATAAAAGTTTGAACTGCTAAAATACAACAGGTTTGCTTGTGTGTGAGATTCCTTGGTCCATTTGGAAGCCCCTTCCACCACCTAGAAGGGCCAGCTTTCTGCAGAGCCTCATTTGCTTCAGTGAGCTCTGTGTGAGAAAGCATAGCCAGGGCTAAGCAGTGATGGAGCAAGTAGGGTAACATGACCAACACAAGGAGCAATGCCCCCTTGTCACATGAGAAGAGTGGAAGCACTAACCTGAGGGTGGTGAAGAGGATGCAAATGCAAGCCGTGATGTCTTCAAAGCCTCCAGAGTCCTTCCAGGTGGGTCTCTCACAAGGTGGGTCTCCAGGTGAATCAGACTACAAGGCTGGGACCAGCAGATGTGATTTTAACTCTACAAAAGTGTTAAAGCACAAACCTTTTCTTTGATACTGAGGCATATGGATACTTGGGAGGTGGGGAGTGTGTGTGTGTGGGGATAGGAAGAGATACATCTGACCGAAAGTAGGTGTCCGCAATGACTGTGTCAGAGTTAGTCATCTAGGCTCCATCTGCAGTCAATGGGGAGGTTCAGACACCTGTAGGGCATGACTCATCTTATATTGCACATATGGATCAGATCAGATGAACTGCCTCCTGCTAGTTTCTCTCCACTGACTATGAAAGGAGCCCGGTGCAACTTACTATCTGTGCAGGTACTTACCTGTTGGCAAGTAAAGGTAGGGCACATGAAAGCCCTGCCTTTTCTTTGGAAGCTAGCCATTTAAGAAATGTTTAACACGCATGTAGGACCAAATAAACAAAGCTCTGATGTGGTATATTCAAAGTGTAACTTCCCTGCTCTTCTCATGTCTTACAATGCGATCTTCTAGACAAAACTTATCTATCACTTTTCCTAATAGCTCATTTGGATAGTGCCTACTCATTCTCACTCATCAAATTTGGCTTTCTACATAGGGCTTCTGCTGCTCAATACAGTGTGTGTGACAGCAACATATCGCCACACACGATGCTGTGATGCAGACATCTCTTTTTAGTACAGGTCACCTTAGAGGTGGGTGCATGGTCCCATTCCCTTAATATCTTAGCCTTAATATGTTTTCCTTTCATGTACAGATGTTACATTCCTCTTCCCTACCTCCTGTCTGACCATCCCTCTTGGCTTAAGAATGACCTAGGAAAAAATAAAGCTTACAGAAGATCTCCTTCGGCTTTTGAGCTATTCCCAGCAGCTCCATCTGACTGCTTTGCCCTCTCTCTATGTATGCAGTTATGAGTCTGTGTGGGAGGCAAGCAAACTCCAGCTGCCTCTGAACTTTGCCTGCTAACTTGTGCCTCCTCTATATGACGCAGAAAGGTTTTCCAGCCCAGTTACTTTCAGCTCATGAAGAGCTTTTTGACTGTCAGTAAACCACACCACAGCCTCTAATTTTGATTGGAGCTTCTGCTAGCTGATGTCAGATACTTAGTGCAAATATTCATTTTTACTATTACATTAAATGTGGTTTTAATCACTGCCATAGGTAATTGTAGGACAAGGGGGCTCTTATGCCTTGGAAATAGTTTTGCGAGGTAATGATTATACACGTGCACTCCAGAAGTCCTGGAGGTGATGAACTGAAGAGGGAAACAGTGGTTTGGAACGAATGGGTCTCTGTATAGCAAACACGCTCAGTGATATTTGGCTTTGATGAGATTACCTGGGTGAGTTTATCTGTGACAGAAGGTGTGGCTCCTGCCTCAGGAAGTTTTGAAATGAAGATTTTCTTTTCATAGATATTCAAGAGTCAGGCAGAAAGGTGCAAAATAAAAATAATCACTTCTCATTCCAGTTACAACTCTACCTAGCTGAGTCTCATTCTTTCTTAATCCTTCAGGTTTTTATCCCTGAGGGTAGATTGCCTTTCAAGTGCAGTAAGAGTAGCCATATTTGTGTTAGGTTTTTCAAAAGAGAACATCTTTGCTTTTTTTCTCTGACTCCTTCTGTCCAGGTTACCCCTGTCTCCAGTAAATCCTTTTTCCTGGATTTCGTGGGATATCCTCAGTTGTCAGAAATGTGACATTCTGGTCTGCCACCATGTCTGGCCTTCAGGCCTAGGGTGAGATAGATGCGAGTCCTTAAGGCCCTCTCCCCTGGTCCGGTGCAGTTTGCCTCTTTCAGAGAGACATGAAAGCCATGCGGGTGCTTTGGAAATTCCTCACCTATGTCCTTGTTGTTGGCAGGAGAGTCAGAGTGCACATGAAAGTAGGAATGAGATTATAAAATCTAGGCTTGCTTATCAGCCCTCCTGGCCAATTACTGACCTATATCTGAACTGAAAAGGGAGTATCCTGGGAAGGCAAGGATCCTCTTGGCCTCCGGAGCCATGGTGCAGTGCAAGGGCCACAGCAGTGCAGAGGCTCATCCCTGGGCAGTGAACACCGTGCCATGCTTGAGAGGGGTCCAGCTCAGCTCAACACCACACAAGCTGCCAAAAAGGGAAAGGCAGAGAGCTTGAGTAGATGCCAGTTGTAGCTACAAGGACACAAAGTCATTCAGACTGGCCTTTTTTCTTCTACATCTGTCTGCCTGTTCCTGAGCCTTAATTTGGCATGACGTGGTCCATCTAGCAATCCCACTTTCTCAGACCCCATATAGCTTTCCCATACACAAACTTTTTTTTATAATTAAAAGTCTGTCATTTTTCCTAGGTATCCTGAATAAATGATTTTGTCTTGCCCTTTTTCATATTTTCAACATTCAGACAAAATCTCCTCTTCTGAGCTTCCTCTCCTCTGAGCACCTCTCCTCTGTCTTTGCAACCATGCACTTGTTCCCTTTGCTCCACAGCAGGCTTTATCTTTCCATTTTTGCCTCTTACATATTGACACTTAGAGCCTGCCTAGGTTTTGCATGCTTTCCTATCCTGAGGCAGCCTGTTGGTGAAGGAAGGGCCGTGCCACAGCCTACCTTGTTCTTGTCAGCGTCTTTTATCTTCCCACTTCAGTCACTTCTGTGTCACTGCTTTGCATTCACTTATTTTAGCTGTTTTTAGCTGAGGTTGCTTTCTTCATTAGTACAAAGATGATTTAGTTCTGTTGAAGCCTGGCAGTGATACTACTCAATTGCAGCATATATTTTTAATCTAGATTCAGTTTCTGTGCTTTATGGCACCAGAGAGAGTTGAGTTTTGTGTCTGAGGTGCCACTAGAAGATATGTATTATTTCCTGACTGTTGATGATTGTGGTGAATTATCCCAGTTCTGTTTTAGAGACATTGCCTAGAGAGTTTTTATCATTTATGTATAAAGTTACCAAACCCAAACCAAAACTATACAGGCAGCCTGATCAAGGGGAGACTATTGAAAAGTCTTTCTTGCTTCAGCTACAAGAAACATCCTGCTTGCAGGCTCTCAAACTAATGAGGGATTTCAACCACATGGATGTCTTTTGGGAAAGCAATACAGCAGCAAGTAAGCAATCCAGGAGACTCCTGGCATGTGTCAGTGATAACTTCTTGGTCCAGGTATAAGATAAACCAACAAGAGGAGAAAAATTATTGGACCTGGTGCTCACCAATGCAGATGAACTTATTAAAAAGGTGAAGATTGGAGGCAGTCTGGACTGCAGAGACTATGCCCTGGTTGAGTTTGTGAAATACGTGCCTGGTAAAGAGCCAAGTCAGGACCCTGAACTTCCAAAGAGTGAACTTCTAGCTGTTTAAAGAATTACTAGGTGATATCTTCAGGAAAACTCTTGTTAGGGATGGAGGAACTGATCAGAGCTGGGAACTCTTTAAGGACATTTAGAGCTCAAAAGTTCTCCATTCCATTGTGTAAGAAATCAAGCAGGGAAGGCAACCAGAATGGTTGAGCGTGGACTTGCTGGTCAAACTGAAGAACAAGAAGGAAATGCATAGGCATTGAAAGCAGGGACACGTGGCCTGGGAAGAATACAGGGATGCTGTCCGGATGTGCAGGAATGGGACCAGGAATGCCATGCACAGGTGGAACTGAGCTTGGAGAGGGATACAAAGAATAACAAGGAGGGATTCTATAGGTACATTGCTCAGAAAAGGAAGGCCAAGGGGAGTGTGCCCCCTCTGATGGATGAGAAGGGAGAACTGGTAACAACAGACATGGAGAAGGCTAAGGTACTCATCAATTTCTTTGCTGCATTCTTCACTGTTGGTCAGGCTTCCCAAATCTTTTGTTTTAGAGACAACCTATAGATGGAGCTTGGGGGAGAAAAGTCTCTCCCACTGTAAATGAAGAGCAGGCTTGAGACCACCTAATGAAACTGAACAGGTACAAGTCTATGGGGCCTGATGTAATGAATCCAAAGGTCCTGAAGAAACTGGCTGATGTAGTTGCCCAGCCTCTCTCCATCATATTTGAAAAGCCCTGGCAGCCAGCTGAAGTCCGTGATGACTGGAAAAAGGGAAACATCACTCCTATTTTAAAAAAGGGTAGAAAGCAGAACCCGGGGAACTACATGTTGGTGAGCCTCACCTCTGTGCCTGGGAATATCATGGAGAAGATCTGCCTGAAAACACTGTCAAGGTACATGCAGGACAAGGAGGTCCCATCCATCACCAGAGTCTTTGATACCCAGTAACCGAGGGACCCCATGAATTGTAGTGTTCCTGGCTCTGAGAAGAACAGGCCAGGAATCATGATGCTGCTAAAAACACTTTGAAACAAGGCTGAGTGAACATAACACTGCAGGCTGAGCAAACCAGCATTTTTTTGGAGAGTTTACATTACAGTGTTAATATGAAGATAAGAGTAAATTTGTTCCTAGTTAACTAAGAGTCCAGTTAAAACTGGACTCCAGACAGATGTGGTGAAATAAAACCTGAAGAAATCTGCATATTTCCTATATACAGGATCTTCATGGTCTTCTGAAATCCCCTGCTCACTTGATTTTGAGGCAGCTTTACGCTGGGAGTGTTCTACTGCACTGTATTGCAGTGAAGTGCTAGGGATTTGGAGGCTGTCTCTGGGCAGTTTTCGAGGCTTCACAGACTGTTTTACAAGTGGACCCATGTAACTTGTACAGTGCACCAGTTTTCTAGGAGAAATATGACACTCACATGCTGCCTGCAGCTCCAGGCAGGGTGGTTCTGCTGTCCTCCTGAGCTCTCCAGATCTTCTCCAGTGTTCATTGCTTGAAGAATGCTTCTCCCTGCCCAGCAGCCCATGAGTTGAAGAAGAATCATCACCAATTGGCAGAAAACAGAAATATATATATCTATATATATATATATAGATATATATATACACACACACACACACACACATATTTCCTAGCTGCTCTGCTCTGAGCTCTACGTAGAAAAGGAGCTTGGCCAGACAAGAGTTTGCTATTCCACTTCATATCATAGTATCTGGATTAACCTGAACTATAAAAGTGCAGTAAAAGGAGGAAGATAATGACTGAATCTGGGAAAAGAAATAACTCTTCTTGGTTACTAAAAAGATCCAAAATTAGCACATGAAATAGGCCTGAAAGAATGATTTGGTTCCCTTCCTGGCAGTGCTCCCTTATGAAACAACCTCTCACAATCCTCTTGTGGAGAGAGTGACCTCACGTGGGCCCAATCCTGCTCCTGATTGCAGCAGTTGCGGTCTTGCTGCTGACCAGCAGCAAGAACATGGTAAACCCCCAGGAAAGCATGCACGGATGACCAGGCAAAACTTGCAGAGCACAACATGCTTAAATTTTGCTACTGAATGATGTTCATTACAAAACTAGAATATTGCCTAGATTCCTGTGTGATTCTTCCATATGGGCTTCCTTTTTCATATGCCCACTGCTGAGGAAGATTAAAGATCTAGGAGGGAACTTAAGAAGCAGGAGAAATTATTCTGACATGAAGACAACTGTTTAGAGTCTGTGTTGAATCAAAGCTCTTCTGTGATGTATTTCTGCACAAAGATCTTGGTTTGAGTTTGAGCTGTCCATTAATTCATCACGACTTGCCCACAATGTCGTGAGTGAAGAACTCTTGAATGGTATGGCTCCAACAAGTAGAGTGGTACAATATCAGAGAGAAATGTAAACTATTTCCCTACTGGAAACCCCTATCTGGTAGCCTGATCAAGTCCCACTGAACCAATTTTTCCTAAGTTGAGCAAGGGTAAGCTGTTGAACAAGAGGAACGAAGTGGGAATGACTAACATTTCAGAGTGTGCAGAAGTGAGATCATTCTCCCCACGAGGATGTATTTTGTTATGTGTTTTCTCAATGGGAAAATAGAAGTAAAAGTATTTTTTTTTCAAGCAAATCAAGAAGCAAATTGTGATGACATTTCCTCATTTTCTGTTTCCTCAAAGAAAATCATAGTCAGTCTGATTATTCACTCTGAGACATGTCCTTAGTTTTCTTTGCATTCTAGGAAGAAAAATAAATAAGCAAATAAATAAATAAGATGTATAAAAATATATACATATACATTTACACTTATACATGTACACATATATATAGTTCATGTTTGTTGACCAGTACCCGCTGTCCCTTCACCTTGATTCAGAGCATTTTTGTTTCAATGAAGGAACTGATCACAGCAATAATTGGATCTTGTAAACCTAAGCCAGGGTAAATCTCCATTTTTTCACTAATCCAGGAGTAAATATATATATATATATATATATATATATACATATATATATAATATGTTTTTGTAAAAAGCTATGTCATTTGGAAGTGATTTCAGCTTTACAGAGAAAATATGTTCTAATTTCAGAATGATTTTTTTTTTTCAGATCACTAAATGATATAAATATGATGCTTTAGTTGCTCCAGTCACTTTCCTTCTGTTGAACACTAGAGCTCTGTTTCATCTGCTTTTGCCTTTTATTTGACTCAGAGAGGAAAAAAAAATAAAGGCACAATAGGGCAGGCTGGTTTGCCGATCATAATAATGAACGATCCCTCCTAAGAGCAGGATTTAGTCCAGTGAGTATGCATAGTAATGTTGTCAGCTTTAAAGAATCTTCCTTCTGAGATGGCAGTGCTTGTTTTCTTCTGTAGCTGGGAAGGTTTATGTGCTATGTGTTTCACAGAAGATGCAAGTCCCAGAAGTTCTGGAGCAATATGCCTGACTGGAGGAAGTCCAGGAAGGACAGAACCAACATTTTTCACATTCATTAGGCTTTGGCAAACTGTTGCTTTCACCATGCTGTTTGTCATTTCGGAGAACTGGAATAAGAACCCACATATTGAGATTTTTCCTGTGTGAGTTATGTGTCTATAAAATATGGTTGATTTGGAATTATAGCTGATGGCCTCCCATAGTTCAGTTATATTTCTCATTTTATTTCATTATATTTCTCATTTGTGAATAATCATGAGTTTGATATGAACAAATCAATGCAAATTCTTGATATTAGCCAAATCTCTCAGCATTTGAAATGTCATGTGGTAAAACCTCATGTGTAACCCCAAACATGATGCTGCTACTAAACTTGAAAATATTATGGCAACAAAATTTTTGACTTTTCAATGTGAAAAAGATTTTTTTTTTAAACCATAATTTTTATGATTAAAGAGGAAACTAGAATCTTTTATTTATTTCTTAATCTGAATTCTTCTGCAGGTGAGAAAAAGATTTTTATCATAGCTTTGGATTTTACTACCTTCCTCCCTCTTCTTATTCTTAGGAGCTACTCCTAAAAGTGATATTTTCCTCAAGAATTACATTTATTTTTTTAAGGAAACTGGAGAAGGAGCAGAGAAGGCAGTTGAGAAGGCAGTTACAGCTGCTGCTGGAGACAAGGACCTGGTCCTCAAACACTTTTGCACACAATTAACTTGATGTATCTAAGTAGCCACATCAAATGCTCTCATAAAGTTTTTCATATGAACAAGTGTTTGCAGGCTCTGTATCTAAATCATTGTTTTGATTCTGAGTTCTCTCATGTTTTCCCATCTGTAAAGCAGTGACATTGCAGAGATCATTTGGTAAATCCTTTGAAATCAATTAATTTAGAGCAATAAATGTGAATGTGTTTTCATTTTTTATTTTATTTATTGATGTCAGAGAAGGAATGCTGACCAAAAAATTGATGTTTTCCACTTCCCACAAGAAGAAAATAATTAAGTAGAAAAGTTGGGAGATTAACCCAGGAAAAGAAAAAATACTTCTTATAAAGGAATAATTACACAAAAATGATCATTGAATGAAAGAAAAGAAGACTCTGAAGAAGCAGTGTCAAATGCAATTAAAGCAGGAGGAAAGTGTTAAATAACTTCACTGTTAGCAGGGGAACTTGTTTAATGTGATGTCCAGATGGCTGCATGCTTCTTCTCTTCCCCTCCAATATGCTGAATGTTCATTGTACTTTTAGACACCTTTTCTGGTTGATTCTCCTGCCAGATTCTCAATTTTCCTCTTGTAAATCAGGAACAGTTCTGCTGATGCAAACGGATTCACACTTCTGTGAAGCAGTCAAGCCCTGTATATTTTGCTTTGACTTGGCCACACAAAAGTCAACAGGAAAAGTGCCACTGCCACCAAAGGAGCCAGGCTTTCATCCCAGATTTTATGTCTTCTTTAAATTTCTGCTTTATACTCCATGGCAAACATGTAATCTGTATGTTTCACAAATTGCTGCTGATTATATATTTTATACCAGATTGCTATCCAGGACACTCCACCACTTAATCTGCTCAAGAAACAGTTTTGGGTTCAGTGCCCTGTATTTTATATGTTTGATATATTTTGATATCAATGACCTTACGTTAGTGGTGTGGTAAGACAGGTCATCTGGCAGCCCACTGGGATTCCTCTCCACTATTTGAGAACGGTTTGAAAATGTTGGAATGGTAAAAAAAAAAAAAAAAGGGGTTTTGTTTTCCTTTTGAAAGCATTTTTTAAAATGTCATGAGACACTATTACACTATTTCATTTTAGCATGCTGTTCATTAAACTAATGGTTTGGGCTCAATAACACAGCCAATTCATGTATGTTTAGCCATCTGTGAAGGTTTCTCATAAATTAAAAGATGCAATGCTGTAAAATGATACTGCAGTGGTTACACTGGTTTATTTTCCTCTTTTTTTTTTTTTTTTTTTCCCTACTTATAATGCACTTATGATAGTAAGTGCTTATAGTGCCACCGTCTGGTTGAGATGGCTACCGTCTTCACTTCCAGACCGACTGTCTTTAAATGAACATTTTGTTATTATTAAAACACAAGTCAGTCCTGTGAGATTGCTAACACCCCTTTCTCTTGCATCTGAGTTATTGAGAGGAGTAATTTGAAGAGAGCAACTAAATTGACCGGCACTGTAGAGGTATGCATAACTGATCTATATGGGGTATGAATAACTTCATTTATGCACTTTGTAAACTATGAATATTAACCTATGTTAGTATTTTAAAGGTAACATTTAAGATAGACTTCTCAATTTTTAAATTGTGCATGTGTTTTATATTTATTTAATATCAGATTATTCCGTATGTACTTATGCTTTCCAAAAATGTCTATTTTTCTCTTTGCTTTGCTGATTCAGTCAAGCTGCAAAGTCAGATTATATAGTACAGCTGATTTTTCCTTTCTGATTTTTGTTTTTCTACAATCTAATCCTTCAGTTGTAAATGCCACATTAGCAATCATAATAGGCTCCAGTATGCAAAATAAGCATATCATGGCTATGACACCCACCCTGCCTCCCTTCAGTCAACTACTTGCCAGACACAAAAGCCCTGGGACAAACAGAGCAGGTAGCCCTCACTGTAAGTAAATGTCCTAGGGGGCTGGGCTGTTTGTTAATTCCCCTGATTTCTTCTGTGTGTTTGCTGTGCCATGGGTAGTGCAGCTGTGTGTATGTATTTGCAATTGACAAAAACACTGTTTTTGCTACTGTGCTGCCCAGTGTTTCAGACAGCTTTGTTCCAGTGTGCTGGCCTCAGGTTTCAGTCTCAGGGCTGCACTTCAGGACTCTTCCCTGGCTGACCACAGACATTAACACGATTTCTGTTAGATGTCTGAAGCTGCTCAGAGTCCCTCCAGCAGCTGAGGCTGGTTGCTCCACAGCGCCTGGGGGAACCGTGGGGTACAAAACAATGGACACCCACCTGTGCCCTTGTGGCCAAGCATCAAACCACTTCCTTCCTTCTAGGAGGGCCTCAAGGAGGCAGCAAACACAGCAGTAGAGCCATGCTTGCTCAAGAGATGGACCCCATGCAGTCTGTTGCTTTGACCCCCTTTCCTTTTTGGTGCCTTCCATGCAGGGTCCTGCTGGAGAACTCCATTTCTTGTACACCAAAGGTTGGCTGTGCAATGCTGCCTCTCCCAGAGCTGAAAAGACCAATTATATGCTGCTTGCTGCTGCTTGAATCTCCAGTCCATGGCATAAAGCACAGGCTCATATGACAGTCACTGGAGGACACAATAGTAAAAATGGGTAAGGAACCTCCCTTGTTCTTTTATGGGTTTCTTCTCAGCAGCTACACTGTGCAGGTGCCACAAGCAATTAACGATTTTATAGGACACTTGAGTTGAACATTTGCAGAGGGGGAGATTTGAGTAATCTCCTGGCCCCAAGGAGTTGTTTCATTTTTAATTGTGCGTTTTAGGGTCTATTGGGCTCTGATATTTCAAGTTCTGTGGAAACAGCCAGCACACTGCTATCATTGTGCTCTCCTGTTCAGGGTTTGTGGCTGAATTACCTCATGATAGGCCATTTAGGTCTTTTGGCCTCCTTCTTGGCCTCATATTTCAACACAGCACGTGAAAGAGATGAAGAATGAGCTAAAATTCCCTTCCAACTGTTGCAGAGCTATGAAATATTTTATTTTTCATTCCATATGTTTTTTAGCAACCTTTGGCTTCATTAAAACGATGAGAGTTAGGTGAAGACGACACAGACAGAGGGAGTTTCCCCTCTGATGTCAGGGGTTTGACATATTTACCCTCACCTAAAAGACGGTGGTTGCTTCTGTTTTCTGCAAACAAAGGGAAGGCTCCTTCTCCAGCATTTCTCTCCTCTGTGCAAACATTAATTTGTGAAGCATAGCCCACACGATTCCTTGAAAAGAGAATGCATCATGACATTTCCCTAACTGTACAAAAGTCTTTACATTTCTAAATGTCACTCAGCTATTCATTACAGTAATATTTTCCCAAGGCCTGAGCAGGGCCCCATCAGCACTGGTTGTGTGTGTTGCAATTGTCCCCTGCTTCGCCAGCCCCACTGAGATCCAGCTGAGAGCTGTTGAGTGTCAGGGCTGGAGGGGCACCACTCATAGCACTCAAAATCTGTCAGAGCTGGCACCATGGCGGTTTATGGATGCTTATCAGCCGTGGCCTCTTCAGCTCTTAAGGAGGTGTTGGGGTGCCAGAGATTGACTGGAGAAAGTTCTCCAGAGGAGAGATGGAGGAGGAAATGGAATGCCATGAAATGGAAAGCTCCGTAAAACACTTCAGTGCAAAAACAAACAAACAAACAAGCAAACAACAACCTTTTCCAATCCAAATATAATCCTTTCCCAGACAGTTCTTAAAAATGGAAGAGGTAGTGCCCTCTCAGACACACGCAGAAAATGGGGAGTTGCTTGCCATTCCCACAGGCAGGAGCATTGCCAGCTTCGGTGCAGCAGCACCTTGAAGAGAGGAGGCAGGTCACTGCACCACGGAGAAAGTGGCAGCAGTTTCTGTAGGCTTCACTGAAAATAGGAGATAGCAGAAATGGTTGAACATACCAAACATCCCACAGAGTGGTGTTTATTCTCTAACACCAGGGCAGGCCCTGAGTTGGCTACAGTCTGGGAGCCATGCAAGTCCTTGAAAGCAAACTTTGTTGTCACTCAGCATTCGGGCAAATTTGGTGTCCGCCTGTGGGTGATCCAGCTCAGAGCTTCCTGGCGTCATTTTGCGATCATGTGAATCTGCTGGCACAACTGCTCCTTGCCAAAGAAACCTTCACCCCTACAAAATTTGAATATTAGCTCTTGGTCTTGAATGGAAGAACACAATTCCCATGGAAACATTGATAAACATCATGAAAAGGGGCACAAGGTGGAGTGAAATGAAATGGCTGAATTTGTCTTGTGACAATTTCATCAAATTACATCTCACTTCCTGGCTCTTTGAGTTATAAAGTGTATGCTGTGTGGACACTGCAGTGCAGACCAGGAGGAGACAAAGGTAGGGCATGGAGCAGGAAGCGCTCTGACACCCTGAGTGCTGTAGGGTTGAAGGGTGAAGGAGTCAGCTGGTAAATGCTGCCAAGCACACCAGAAAATAGGCAGAGAAGCAGATGAGACATGAGACATTGAGATCTCATTCCACACCTAAGGTCTGTAAGTCCAGGGATCATCACAGAGCATGTGAGGAAGAGCAAACTTAATATGGAGAAAAGGAATATTACCACAAGAAGCACTTATAGCAGAAGACACGATTACTGGGTGGTCAATACAAACTCTAGCCTGCTCTCTGTAGAGCAAGTCAGCCCAGAAATACAAGAGAAGGTGGCTGTATTTATCTGGAAAACTTTCTTACATGCTGTCATCTGGAACTGCTTGAAAGCAAAGTACATAAAGATGAAGAAAGGACGAGACTTTGCTTCTGTTGGGTAATTAAAAGGGAAAGAAATCTCAGTACCATAAAGAAGAATGAGATAAATCATGTCACAAAGAAATTTGTTGCTGTGGTAGTCTTCCCCTTTCATAAAAAAGAAGCTAATATGGCTAGGATCAACTACAATTAGAGTTTAACTCCACAGAGAAAACACAAATACAAAAACTACAGCAATCATAGAGGAAGAGTGGAGGAAGAGATAAAGGAGAACACAGGAACAAGATGTGGGCAATTTGTAACTTAGACTCACATTCAAAAAGATTTAGAGAGCCTGTATCCTCCCAAAGGAGCATTGTCATGTCATTAAAACCTTTAATATTGTCTTGACAACTCTTCTGTTCTTTGCATGTAGCTGACTGATAAGGCAATATTCTTAACTTTAGCATGTTTGTCTTTTATTCCTCAGAAGTACTGCAGTTGATCTTACTCTAAGAAAAGAAAAGGGAGGAATAAAAAATTCCTAGATCTCCTGAGATATTTTTTTTTTTTTTAAGAGTGGAGCCAGGAGGGCTAACAAAGCATTAAAGGAGCCTACAACATCTCTCCCTGCCCCTCCACCCCTTCCCCACTTGGCTGCTGGAAAATATTTCTTCAGATTTGCTGTGTACCTTTGCTGCAAAACCTGACTGCACGTCTGTGGGTTCGTAGATTATCTGCACCGTGACAGCCAGACTGTGAAACCTTTGCTTGTGACTGCAGGTCTGGCAGTCTGCTGGCTTCAGTGGGGCTGCTGCCGCGGGATGCTGTTTTTCAGCGTGAGTAATGGTGTCATGATCTGGCCCATAAATTCTGGGTAATTTGTAAAGTGCCTGTCACAAAGTTATCTAAATAGCAATGGCACATTGAAAACTGTTCTGAGCTGTTGCAGAGAGTAGTCTTCTCAGTTTGTCTTTCCAGTACAACTTTGTTCTTACATAGTTTGGTATGTTCCTTTCCAACCTCATTTAAGAGCATCTGAATTCTGTTCATATTGTGGTAAACCAGATACCAGCAAAACACAATTGCTGAAGGCATTTTGATCCTTAATATAGTCAATAAACATACTTGAATGGGACTTCAGAATAGGTATTAGAGAGGGCAACAATTACCTCCCTTCTTCTTTTGTGGTTTCTGAATGAATTAATTTTGTCTCTGTTTGGGCTTTCCTTTGTATGTTTTTGTTTTGTTTTGTTTTGTTTGTTTGTTTGTTTTTCCTAGAGTTTCAAGAGACTGATTCTCACTGGCACAATTCCATGGAAGTCAGATTTCTAAGCTGCAAGTGTCGTTGCTGTTCCTGGTTGTGCCTATGATGTCTGTGGTTGTACAGACTTAACAGAAAGTGCTTCATTCCTCACTTCCCAGTATTCCATCCACACGAGAGCACTGATGGCAGAAATCTTCTTGTGCTCCCCTGGGCTGGTGAGTACATGTGGGGAATTACTCACGTCAAGTAAATGATGGCACTCATGTGAATGGTGCACATGGAATATTCTTTGAAATTATTTTGTGATCAAAGCAGAGAGAGGAAATAAAAATGAATGTATTTGCTGAATACTGCATAAATTAAATGTGAGGGTACTGCAAATAAAAGGCAGAATGTTCTTTGAAAGAGGCTGTGTTCACTTCATATTCATAACAAAATATCTTCTGTTGTTCTGTTAACATTCCTTCCTGTTGTTCCTGGTAAAGGAACTAGAGGGTAAAGGAGTCTGATATATGGATTTCTTTTAAATTATTATTATTCTTTTTGGTAAGTGTCTCTTTATAAATAATTGTGTAATGTTTCAACACCTGGGTCAATGCCAAATTTCTTATAGCTGCAGAGGAAGAAATGAAACTTAGAGGGCTGCCAGAACATGAAGCTCTACAGTAGACTGGTGATGTAGGCACCAATGGCACCCCTGGGTGTTCAAATCATCAAAATACTGGCAGAGCATGTGACAAAGTGGTCTGCAAGTTGTTTTTTTGACTGTTCCAAATGCTAAGTGAGAAGCCGGAACAGCACTGGGAAGTAGGACCTTGCTGGACAGTGAATCTTCTCCTTGGCTTTTGTCATGATACAATCACTTTCATAAATTCATCAAGCTTCAGTTCATTTTCAGTTCATTCATCAAGCACACAAACTGTCCTTTCACCACTGCATACAACAAACAAACAAACAAACAATTATTCTATTCTATTCTATTCTATTCTATTCTATTCTATTCTATTCTATTCTATTCTATTCTATTCTATTCTATTCTATTCTATTCTATTCTATTCTATTCTATTCTATTCTATTCTATTCTATTCTCCCATGTGTCTGGAGACAGGACAAGGGGGAATGGGCTAAAGTTGCACCAGGGGAGGTTTAGGTTGGATATTAGGAAAAACATCTTTACTGAAAGGGTTGTTAGACATTGGAATGGGCTGCCCAGGGAAGTGGTGGAGTCACCATCCCTGGAGGTCTTCAAAAGATGTTTAGATGTAGAGCTTAGGGATATGGTTTAGTGGGGACTGTTAGTGTTAGGTCATAGGTTGGACTCGGTGATCTTGGAGGTCTCTTCCAACCTAGACAATTCTGTGATTCTGTGATTCTGTGAAACAAACAAACCAGCAGGCACAACTTAATTTTCTGCAAAGTATCAGCTGTCTTCTCAGGTGCCATTGCTCTGCATAGCTCACAAGAATCCTTCAGCATGTATCACTTCTCTTTAAGATGCCAAAGTAGTAGCAGAAGGGAGAAGTAAAAATCAATCCAGGCCTGAAACTTTTGATGGTTTAGGCTTTCACCCACAGAGTCACCACCAGTTTGCAACCCTTTGTAATTCACTCAATAAGCTTTCAGAGGACTGGAGATTGAGCTTTCATCTTTATACATCAGATACAGAATTAGCAATAGTTCAGTTATTACTATTCAGTAGGTGTTTATTGTGGAATAAAATACACAGTGGAGCAATAATGCACAGACCTTGGGTCACAATTTCCATCTCTTGTGAAAAAAAAAAAAAGCCTCTTACAGTTGTGGGAAAATGATTTTGGCAGGTTATGACTGGAAATACAGGTGACACAAAAAATAGTGAATTTCAGATCATATATTCATCATCAGAAAGGGAAATAAAATTTGTTTCTCTTGGTTCACTCTAATATTCTGCCTAAGCATGATAAGGTGCTAGTCTTGTTTTAACTACAACTGGGCAGGCAGCTATTCTTCACAGGAAGTACAGTATTATTTGACATTTCTTAAAATATCCAATGGCAAGTTAGGTGAAGGATGTGATGCTTGACTGTGCATGGATATAAAGTCACGCATTCGCTCAATTGTATGAGTAAAATACAGCAAAAGAAAAAAAAATCATTTATCTTTTTTCATAAAGTACTTTCTGAATTGGTGGGGATTCCCACCTTTTACCGTGACCCTGTTCAGTTCTCAATAAACTAGAGAATCCCCACAGTGCCAACACCACGTGCTAAGAATTTTTCTGAACACGCATTTCAGTTACTTGTTCTGACTAATCAGGGAGTTTTCAGATTTTCTAGTGATTTCTCATTTACTTTGCTCCTTTGATTTCAATTAAGTTTCCCTTAAAGGTATACACAAAAACAGCTGCTTCTGCTCTTTATATGCTATATGGATAACATAAAATACTTTGCATGGAGTTGTGTTCTACCTTTCACGGAATGTAATGTAGTACTGTAGTACATCAACTAGGGTTGTCAGATCTGATGATTTGTGCACAGGTACTTGATTGACAGCAAAATACTCTTGAGGTAGAAATTCAACTGTATTTAAAACTGACTGATGTATTTGCCTCAAACCACTATGTGGGGCTGCTTTAGTGTGGCAGTAAACTGAAACAAGTAGGATAAGGGAGAGGAGCAAGGTCAGATGGGATGTTTTCACAGATCACCCATCAGAAGGAAATTTGTAATCTTTCACAATAATGTTGCTGATCTTATTATGAATCTGAAAGTCAGGGTCCTCTATGCTAGTTCTGCCAAGCTTCCAGGATCTTGGTGGCATGGAAACTGCATGGAAACTTGGTGGCATGGAAACTGGCTGCCCACAATGGGACAGAACTGGTAGGGAACTGCTGCAGATCTTCCACTGAATTCCCATTTCCTTGCCACCAAGCCCACCAACTCTTTCTCCAAAATCTGTGCTGTGACTCACAAGGAGAGTTTCTTATGATCTGATCAATTTAAAGTAGATTCTTGGTTTCTATGACTACTTAATTTTTTATTCTGGATTGCTCAGATCTGGAATTCTAACCTACAGGAGATTGTGAGAGACATGAGAGAAACACTGTTTACCAAGTCTTTACTTCCAGTTTTGCTGCCCCAGCAGTACTGACTCTAACTGTGTCAATTAAATTTAAAGTTGTTATGCTGCCGTCTCACTAAATACAGGCTGATGTTTCAAATTATGCTATCTAAGGCTCATTATCCAAAACTAATATGATTTACAACCCACCTTTTACTTTTAAACTAACTTGCCTTTAATTGCTGTGGTCAGACTATACAAGCATCAGCTGTTCTCAGTAGTTATTTAGTATGTCTCAAAATTTGGTCATTTTACTCTCTCAAAAGCATTGAACTTCATGGTGTACAAATTTCTTTATACATTTGCAAAACCGTACAGGAAATATGACAAGAGCAATCTTTGTCTCTTTTAATGTGCATTTCCACAGATGGCAGAAATCATAATGTATTCTATTCACAAATACATGAGTAAACTTCTTTCTAAAAATATGGCATATTATCTGCAAACCCTGTGAAGCCTGCCCACTTGTTCTTAATGCTGTTCAAGTGACTTCAAAGAATTAGAGTAATTTTTCAGGATAGACTACATTTAGAAGAGATTTATTAACATCTTGATTGTAGACCCTGTTTTTTTGTTTTTTTTTTTTAGGAAAAGAATGTCAATTGCAATAGATCATGGATGGACAACTTGCTCTGGAAAAAAAGAGTATGAATATAGTAAACCTTTTTGGTTTGAATCATTCAAATATCTATAAGAACATGTATTTCTTCAATGCTAATACTCAGAAAGCGTTAAATTATACATATATGCTGCCTCTTCAAAGCACAAAACCTGTTTGTAATCTCTAACAATAATCACAATGGAAAATGGATAAGAAGACGTACCATCTGCCCCTTTAAATAAAAAGTGGCAAGTAGCATGTATTATCCCATTTACAAAACTGCACTACAGAGGTGAAAAAATCTGTTCTCTAAGGACACTGAGATGGTTAAAGGCTTGGAACATCTGACATACAAGGAGAGGCTAAGACAGCTGGGACTGTTCAGCCTTCATAAGGGAAAGCTCAGGGGGATCTTATCACCTGTATAAACACCTGATGGAGGCCGAGTAAAGAGGATGAAGTCTGACTCCTTGCAGTGGTGTCCAATGAAGGAGAGGACAAGAGGCAATGGGCACAAGCTGACATGCAGGAAATTTTTTTTTTTTTTTTTTTTTTTTTTTTTTTTTTTTTTACTGTTAGGGTGATCTAACACTGGGAAGAATACACTGCCCAGAGAGACTGTGGGATCTCCATGCTTGGAGGTGCTCAAAATCAAATTGGACATAATCCTGAGCAAACTGCTCTGGCTGACCCTGCTTTGACCAGAGCTTTGGGCTAGACAGCCTCCACAAGTGCTTCCCAGAATCACCCATCTAGTGGCTCTGTGCTTCACATTTTTAAGAGTACCGTGCCTGGAAGTCACAGAGGTTCTTCCAAGTGATTTCTGGAAGCACCACTGCTTCCTTCACTCAGGTACTAGGATTACTTCATCCACTTTTGCAAGGGACTCCTCTTCCTCTATGGTGTCCATTTAAGAGAGGGGAAGGACTTTTTGGTTTTGACTCCTGTTTTTCTTATCCTGTTCCTGCAAGTAGATTCCCAGCACAGAGCTGGGATCTTGTGCACTGTACTGGGACATGTTCTACACTTCAAGTGTTTTGGTCAGACATCAAGTAAATATTCACTACTAAAACTTCACTAACCCTTATTACCTGTCACAGTGAACATACCTGCAGGAAACCATGGCTGACAGGGATCATCAGTCTTAGTGCATACACAGAAGTAGTTTGTTTCTTAATGCCCTTTTCCTCAGGATCCAGTTCATGTGATACATTGGATTCTATGTATTAGGAGTTCAGTGACTTTGCCTCCTCCCCTTCCCCTGCAGTCTAGTCTTCAGCCACTTGAGATCCCAGTCTTTGCTAGAATGCTAAATGACGGGACGGTTATGTGTGCTTGGTATTTTCTGGCCCAGAATTTCCAGTCTCAGAGCAGCTACATTAAGCAGCTAATTCCCTTTTTCTTATTACCACCATCTATTAGTAATTGCGGTCTTCAAGAATGGGAACATTCAGTATTTTCCCTAATGCAACACTCTCATTCAATTCAGATTAGATCCCCCCTCCCCTCCTATTTATTTTAAGGTGCAGGACAGAAGAAAAACATGCAGAAAATAAGAGTCTGTTTGTTTAAGCATGTGGCATATTTTGTGCAGAAATCTTAATTCATGTGGGAGAATTCTTAAAGACTTCTTTGTTATTAAGGTAGAACCTGAACAGTTACCAGACTCTAATCAATCTTGCTCCCTTATACTGCTGCCTTTCCACAGTTAGGTACTGGGGAGACAAGACCTTCTCACTGAAGAAAACAGAAACCTTTCTAACTCATTCCACTTGTCAGTAGCATCCTTAGACTGCTTTACAGTGTCTTTTTTTTTTTTTTTCTTTTTTCTTTCTTTTTTTTTTTTTTTAATGCTTTGTTTTGACTTCAGTAAAATATCAAATCAAAATGTTCTGGGGTCTCTAGTCTGCTCTGCAATATTTTTCTCCTTACTTAGTTTAGGGGTGTATGAAACAGGTCTATATGGACTTCTTGAATGATGAAGTTTTGCCCAATGTTGCAGATAGTGGTTTCGTAGATGTATTATGTGCCTAAAAGCCCACCTACCCACTTTGCTTCTGTTTGAAAGCTATTCAAGAACTCCATTCTTCTGATGGTTAGCAATCTCATTCCCTGTTTAAATTTACTCCTGGCCAGTTTATATTTATTTGCTCTTTTGTCAACTCTTTTCTTTGCTTCAGCAGCTCCAATACATCCCTAATTTGTTTGTAGAATGCACTTATGTCTTTCCCTCCCATATTTAAATTTGCTTGACTAAACAAACCAAACTCTTAGGTTCCTTGGGTGAAAAGTCTCTCTGTTTGCCATCTTAGTAGCCATTCTTCGCATCTGCTCTCATTTGAATGTAAGAAGCCACAGTTGTACTGCAGTATTTGCAGTACAGAAGATGAGATCTTAATGCAAATATTGGAGCATTAATACTCCACTCTTTCTACTGGCAAGGCCTTCTGCTTGAATTCATCTTTTCCTGAGATGAGTCACAATGTTGCCTTTTGTGAACTTAATACACCTGGGTCTTTCTGCTTTCTCCTCTGTCATTTCCAACTTTGAGCTGCTCAGAGTGAATGCTGTTTCTGTGGGTATTTCTTATATGAGACAACTGGGGAAAAATGGGACTTCTGTTTTCCTCTGTTCTGATACTTTTTTGTAGCCAAGGTGAATTAGGAGACATCTAACATTGAGAAAGCCAAGTGGCATGCAGTTTGAAACCAACTTGTGAATCCTTTGCTCTTCATAGTCCTTTGGAGATATGGATTAGGTTAGATACTTCAAAACATCTCAGCAAATTATGTGCATATTTTGTATGAAGTACATTAGCGTTCAGTCATTCCAGTGACATTTCCCAAAACCGTTATTTTAAAAGGTCTCTTACATATTCTTGGCCACTTTTTTTGTCATGACTTTTTTTTTGGAATGCTTATTCTTAACAATCCAGTGCTTTGGCCTTTAAGTAATGCCTAAAAGTTCATGGTTCTTCCCAGAAGAGCTGCTCTGATCTCAGCACTGCCCTATGTTGACTCCACAGCCCAAACAGGTCCTGTTATTTTTGAAGGTTGTCATAAATCATATGGAGTCTGGATTGGGTGTGACATAGGACTGGAGAGTTCAGGAGCAATGGGGGAAAAAAAAAAAGCTTACCTATCCCATCATAAAATGAGAAGAAAGGTTATCAGTAAGAAAAGTAAGGAAAATAAAACACAGCCTCAGCATAAATATGGATAAATAAATTGCTTAATCTCTTTGCAAATGTGACAGAGGAACACTTCAGACACAGAATCAGTATTCTGTGAGCTGTAGCACAGGCTCAGTATATAATGCCATATAAAATAATCTGATTGATAAGGAACTTCTTAGCAGTTTAATGGTGTAAGAAGTAGTAAAGAAAAAGAATGAACTGAAACAAGAAACAGCATGAGATTGATGTCTAACCTTGGAAGTGCTAAAAGTCTTCTACAGTTGCCAAATCTTCTAGTTAGCCAAGACAAGATGTAAACTAGATGTCACACAACTCAATTGAGTGTGGCTGTATAAATGACTGTAATGACCATGTAAAGTAGCACACAAAGGGCACATGCTGCATAGCTACAATGCTGTATAGTGGATGGTGCCCGTGCTGTACAGTAGAGCTAGTTTTCATGATTTCCACCTCAGCACACTGGCTGCATCTTCTCTGTAGCAGCTCTGGAGGAATCATTCAGGGATTCCCATGATGTGCAGAATAACAGTTCTGAGAAGTGGAGCTGTAGCAGGGATGAGTCATGAAGCTCTTCTCTGACAGCCAGGAATGGGGAAAAATATCTTCTGAAGAGAGGGGGAAGGGGTAGTTTGTGCATGTTCTTCCAGGTTTCGTTCTCTCCTCAATCCAGCAGCATGTGGTCTGAAAGACCTGCAGAACAGGAACTGAAGAGTTGTGTTTTTTATTTGTTCATTGTGTTGGATATTTTCTGAAATAGAGTACTGTCATGGCAGTAAAGTCATCAGCACTGACTGGGGAAAAGAATCAGATATATATGCTGCATGTGTAGGACTCATGGACATATTAAAAGTTATTCTCAGTTCAGCTTCAAGAATTTGAACACTGTAACTTAAAGACATTAGAAAACATCTTTTGTTTATGCAAATCTTGACTGTCCATACAGCTGATAGGTTTGGTTTTAGTTTATTCTTTCAGAAGTATCACAGCAGCATGTGTTTAAATTACAGAAAATGCAGTTCAGAAATGAAAAAATGAAAAGAGTATTTGCTGGTTTTAACAGGCAGATTCAGCCCAAAATTGTTGTCAGTTTGGTAAGCATGTCCTGCTTACAATGGAACTGAAGCTTAATTCAGGCCTTGCCAAACCAATAACAGAAGGCATCTCACAGACCCAAGACACTCAGAAAAAGTGGAGTCAAAACTCATCTTTCATTTTACCAATGTGTTTCTTGCTCTGGTCTTAAGAACATGCCCCAGTGTAAATCTATGTGACCCATGATCAAATAAGCCAGAGAAAATGGACCCAGGAGTTGGACTCAGTGATCCTTGTGGGTCCCTTCCAACTCAGGATATTTTGTGATTCTGTATCTTGGCAGGGCAGGGTAGAGGTTTCAGTAGTTCTCATCATCCTTCAGCTCATAAGTACTTATCATGTAAGCGGTCTCAGTTTGACCAAAACATAGCCTGGAAACTTCTCTCAGAGACCTGTTCCATTACACGTATTGTTCCTGTGGCAGTGCAGTGTAATAGTGTGACAGCAGATACGCTGGTATTTGGTAAATAAGGTGGATGAGAGCTGCAGCAGGGATTTAATGAAGCTCCTGGAATGGTGTTAAATCTGAATCTGTCCAATTTTTTATTCAGGGTGTTATCCGCTTAAGACTAGAAGGAAGCTAAAAAAAGGCACAAATTCCTCAAGGAATGACAACAAAGTTTGATTTGGTTCATCATTAAAATAACTACTCCAACCAGTCCCTGTCTTGAAGACACATGGGAAGGGTCTTTCCAAGCCAACAATATTCCTGTGTTAAAAAACAAGGGGGGGAAAAATACACCACACAATTCCACAAGTAACTTGACTGTATTTGACTTGCCATTCTGTTTCTGAAGACCCACTCAGCAAAGCCCTTCAGTACATGCTAAAATCCATCCCTCTTGACTTACAGCATGTGCTCAAAGGCTGTCCTTAATTCGAGCCAGGGACTGGTGCTGTCTGCACTTTCAGCATGATCGCATCCATGAGCCAAGAAGCCAAAGGAGAGGAGAGTGCAGTCAGAGGGACAGGGATTGTTTTCTGGAGGGCTTACTGCAGTCACCTCCGTGTCAGTTGTGCGTGTTGTTTTTATCCTTCGAATCAACAAACACCGGCAGCCAAAGAAGAAAGAAGCCGAGCAGTGAAACACAGTGTGTGGCTCTGGCCCTTCCTGGAGAGGGGAGCAGCAGCCGGCCAGAGCCACGCGAACAAATGAGCTATTTGTGGGGCCGTGCGATCCCAAATGGGAGACGTGTCACACTGCAGATCTGTGGGACTTGGCAGGCGCGT